GGAGGACCGAGGGTTGCGGCAGCGAGGCGATGGCGAGGGGGTTGCTCTCCGGGAGTGGGATGAATCGAGAGGCGAAGCGAGTTATTTCGCGCGAAGTGTGCATTGCCCGAATTTGCCTTCGTGCTCTCCTTTTTTTTTTCCCTCTTCTTTTCCGCTTGATTTCCCGCCGCTACTCCATCATCCGCGACGGGCCTAAACATGGTCACGAGAGACCCTCGCGAATCGCCAAAGGTGTGTGGAAAAATTCCTGCGTATCGCTCTTCTTTTTTTTTTTTTTTTTTTTTTTTTTTTCCATCGATCGGCCGCGTCCCACGCGCGCGAAGAAAGCCTCCAGGCTTGCGAAACGTGGGAACTAATATCGGTGTTGCCAGGGAATTTTAATTAATAATTTCAATGACATGAAAAAAGAGCGCATCGACCCTTTATACGTGCGCGCGCATTATTAATACTTTTAATGTAATTGAAACTTTCATAAACACGGGAAAAGAATAATCTCAGACTTTGAATATCTTGGTAATGCGGTTAAGAAACGTGAATATCGTATGGAGACGACGATAAACGAAACGAACAAGTACATATTTTCCCATTCTAGCGGCGACACTGACGTCACTCTTTCGGAGATGACCAAATCGGAGTACCGAGGATCTTAAACTCGCGTTTTACTTTCATTTCATGCACCAATCCAGGAACTCGCCCGCGAGATATTTCCATTGGAAAACACATGGGTGGATCGATATATCTACTTTTGCAGATACATATGTAATATATATGTAAAACATAAATGTAATATATTTTCTCTTATAAATATATATTGAATCTTCTCTTGCTCGTCCCGAAGAAATGCTTAGATTCACTAAAAGTCCAAATTATGAGGATCAATTTTCTTGTAGTATATTTTTTACATGTATATACTACACATGCATGACATATATATGGAAGACTTAGTTGCCATCCCTCCTAAATCTATCTATAAATATAACTTATATATCTCTCTCTCCAATGTACTTTAAAATACCTGATGGCGTACCAGCCACCAATTTGCATTCGCGGCCATCCTTCGCGGCGATTGGCGACGGATGGCACAATAAAATAAACAGTAGTTCGCAACAGTAGACGCAACGAAATGAGCCGCCGTTTATCAGCACGTAACGAAGATGGTCACGCGACCTCTTCGTCGTAGTTCGCGGATAATGACTATGACGAAGACAGTATAACTGCCCTCCATCGATGTATGATCGTAACGTCGTTTTAATTTCTCCCGCAAACCGTCGTTTCCTCTGCAAAATCCTCGTTGCAAAATAAAAAATTTGCAGGTGCAATCAGGTCGGCGATTGTGCGAAAATTAGTTGCACGTAAAGACGAACGTGCGTGCGTGATCGATACACGATCGGCTGAAGTTTTCCTTGCGAAATGTCCTCGAAACCGATTGACTCTGTTTCTTCATATATTGTGTATTTTTTATAAAATTCTTCGTATTGGCGATTCGATTAGGTATTTCATTCATGAATTTTAACAGAGCGTCTTTGAATATCCGGTGATTCTGAGATACTCTGCAAAAATTCTATGAATAATCTTCCGCCACTATTAGGTCACGTTGGTGTACGAAATTTTAAAAGAAGCCAAAATATACGGATAATTCGTGAGAAAACTAATTTCCATAAATTATCATTACATGGTTTAAAACATCTCTGTACATAGAGATACGATCGACGATCTTCTTCACCGCACCAAGGCGACAAACGTTCAAGTGTGATGATTCAATACGACGCTGAGAAATCTCGACAGATCGAAATCATTTACGACGAATCCTCGAGTCAAACTCTGAAGCAACAACTCTGACTCTTTCAAGTAGACGCGAGATTTCGATGGCGAAATAAATATATCCCTTGGACCAAATATTTCTCTAGATGGAGCTTTCGGTTTGCTCTGTGAAATCCGGAGAAACCGAGGAAATGTCACCTTAGTGAACTCGTCATCGAGATTACCATAATAGACAATTAAACGAACAGAAGATAACGTTGTATAACTTTAGTCCGGTGAGATCGGGAGAGAAGAGCGTGTCCAGGTGCTCTCGCGAAGATGGACGCCCTTGAGCTGCAGGCTGCCTTGGTGAAGCTTGACCCGGCCACCACGGTGACGCCCATCGGCACTACCATGAAGCTAGTGCCGCATCATCGCGTCGCCTTTACCGTCAACATCGACGACGAGGGTGACATGACCCTGGAAGATTCGGCGCGGAAGGACGACGTCGAAAAGTCACCGGTCGAGACGGCGACGTCGGTGTCGCGAAAGACGCCGGGCAACTGTATGGGCGGTTTGACGGCGAGTCATCATCATCAGGGCAGCGGCCAGCAGATGGGTGTCTCCAAGTGTGGCATCGTCGAGGTCAGGTGACGCCAACCGCCCTGCTACGGCATCAACATGATTTACCACACTTATCCGCCGCATCGTGGCAGCAAGCACCACGCCAAGCACCACGCCAAGGAGAAGAGGCACCATCATCATCACACTATGCACCATCAGCATCACAGAGCTCATGTGGTAAGCTGTCTTTGAGTTATGCGCGCGAACAAAGGGGCAACGACGACGACGATGTCATCGTCGTTGTCATCGTCGTCATTGCATGTCAGGAAATTCTCTGAGTTATTGTTTAGTTGTTTCACGCGACTTGAAAATTATTTTGTTAGCGATATATTAAAAATTAGCTCGCTGGTCTGTTAAAGAATTTCCGATCGGATTATCTCATATCAAAACAGAGCAAAAAATAATAAAACGGCGCTTGTGCCGTTTAAACTGTTGCACGTGGGAAGGAAACTCAACTCGCAAGACCTTTAATAACGAATTCTATTTTTCCTGTGACAATTTCGTGCTGGCGAAACGGATGTTATAAAGGACGTTCTATACGCAATTTGGAATTCGGTCGAAGCCTCTTACAGCATTCAATAAGAGATGGAAGCATCGTGGAAACTCATATTTCCTTTTCCTCTCGAGAAACTTAACTTGCGGCGGGTACTTGTATAATGCATTTCGTTTAACCGTATTCTCGCTAAAGAACGAGTGCGTATTTGAAAAGATATTATGTTTCGTGTTTTTCTATACATACATGATAAGAATAAATAATGCAGAAACTTTGCAAAACGCGCGAGTGAGCAAATAAAACCACACGTGCAATAAAAAGACGAATTAATTTATTCCTTCGAAATAATTCTAACGTAGTTTTAATTTTTCATTTTATCAATCTACAATATATATATATAATTACAAACGATATTAATCAACAATACCATTATAATATTTATCACACACACATCGCAAATTATATCGCAATGTTATTTGTCGATACTTTAAATATTTTAATAAATGAAAATATCAAATTCAGTTTTATTAAAAATAATACTGTATATATAGATTTTTGAAAAATTGAAAATTAAATTTGTATATTTATTTCGCGAGCGGAATTAAAATCTGTAATTTCAAACCGCCCAAAGAAACCTCTGTGTGCATATATCAAAATTAATATTTAAACGATCGCGCGTAGATATATTTTCACGAGTTTAATATTAATACTATTTTCCGCACTGGTGCGTAATTAAACGCAGCTTGCACCCATATCGTTCGTTCGTGTCGTATCGCGCGGACGTTCTTTATAGTTTATAGCCGTCGAACATGTATTCGTTGTGTGTATTCCTCGCTCGTGCAGCAAGTTTCTTTCATGAATTTTTCTCGCGCAACGGTTCCTCGCAATGACGAATGTGTATCACCGAGTCAGCGGACAATGCGACACGCTCTGGCTGGCTGTTCTGTTCGTTTCGCGCGCACGCGAAACCACCGTATCCGCGGGCATAATGCGCGATACGAGCGTGTTCCGTGACGAAGAATACGTACGACATGTATGCACCGAGTGTCTGGCCGATGTACATAAGAAGCGCGCGCTCGCCGCTTTATTTTCCTAGCGGTAATTTTGCAGAGAAGTAATTAACGAGCTCGCAGGTGCAATCAGCCGCGCGTTAACCAGATCCCTCTCTCGTATAACCCTCAAACAGTAGATTAGCATGTTAATTTTTTTAACGGGGCTTTGTTGACCTGCGCCCACACGCGGGAGTAATACTTTTTCTCAGGACTCGACGACTCGGAAAAAAGATATGCATACAAAATGAGAGTGTTTCGCGTTTGTAGCCTTAAAATAACGAGGTCTGTTAATTCAATTTATATTCTTTGCGTCTTTTCTTTTTACTAAAAATTTAATTACGTCGAGATGATATTTATTCCGAGAATAATAATTCCGAATTGTTTTCGCGTCTTCACGATGAAGGATGCTTGAATCGTACCTCCGTGGAGAGGATCGATCACGTGGGTTCATCGAGGTCGAATCGACGTCTCGCTCGAACACACCACACGTATCTGTGTGTGAGCGCGTGTTTCGAGTGTGTGTATATATACACCTTGGCGCGCTTGCAGTTGCACTTAAGCGAGACATAATAGGCCTATCGCGAGCCACTTGTCTACTTCGCCGTCAGAGCGTCGCTCGCGGCCGCAAGGATCGACGTTAATAGACGCGTTTGCTGAACTACGAAGTGACGAAGATGGTTCCGTAAATGAAGAGGCGAATAGTGCGTCGCATAGTAATTTACCGACGCGTCTCATTTAGGTAATTGCCGCTCACCAACTTTGGATAATGATATCGACCTCGTTCGTGACGAATTTCGCGAAGCGATGGACCAGCTTTATCGCTTATTTCTTTACGAGACTTATTTCAGAGAAGCTAGTGCTTGAATAAATTGACGAAGAAAAAAAATATTTGATCTCTCAAATTGCTAAATAAATAAATGCATGTTTCGCGCGTGCATTCAATCGCCATATGGCTACCACGATTCGCAGACCAATGCGCGGCGCACGTGCATTAACGATGCATACACGTTCGTTTGCCATCGATTACGATTGTGATTCGTGAACGAGTAAGCCGGAGAGCTACCCTTCGTAGGAGAGCGCGAGACTTTTCCTTCTCGAAACACAATCGACCGAGTATCCGCCATCACGCGACTCGCCGGCTGGGTATTGAATTCTCGAGTAGGAGGAGGAGAGATGCGCTCTCTGCGAGCGCATCTCGCGTGTGTACATATGCACGTATGGGAGGCACGTTGCCGCATGTGTACATACATATACGTGACGTACACATATTCCCTGGAATCATACATATTGGGGGGTTCTACGAAGGGTTCGGCATGTACCGGGTGAGCAGATCGATAATATGGTCCACGTAACTAGGACGGCGGTCTCCGTCGCGCTTCGATCTCTCCCTTTCTCTCGCGCACAGCGATATATTCACGGCGATTTTATTTTTTTTCGCTCACCACAATATGTACGAAATAGCTATAAATTTTGTCGTAGATAAGAATAGGCGGTTAGATTTATCGTTATCCTTTGTGCAATGGACGGAATTACAATTGTTGCTTGATATTATGCAATGGATTAAATCATGCGTGTTAAATTATGAGATATTTTGTTTTGAGATAATTAGCGTTAAGATCTCGTATTCGTGAATTCTGACATATTTCGTGTATCTTTATGCGTTAATTTTCTCAAGTTAGAATACCTTCATCGCATCTACTCGAGCAGGTTCTGTCCGATCACGAAATGCCTTCTCTCTGTCCGCGGTAGAAAAAAAGGACCGCCGACCGCCACCAGGGTCAGACTTTCAATTAAAGCTTAAGTCGGGTCTTAACGAGGCTTAAAAGAATCGGCGCGCGGATGCAACGAGTACAACACGTGCTTATACACGCAGGTCGAAGACTTAAGCCGGATCGTCCACCTCGGTTGTTCGAAGGGATGAACATGCTGGCTCGGGCTTCTATTTTGACCGCACTGATATTCAAACGTGACGTGTACCGGTCGATTTGCATATTTCGTGTCTCATAAAAACGGACAAAACGGATTGAGAGATTTCGCCGAACAGTATCAAGGCTGTGATGATTCGATATATCGAAACCGACAATGAGATTTGCGTAAAAAATATTTAAGCTCAACTCGCTGTAATTATGTGTGTAATCGCGAACATTTTAATTTCCACGACAGCGGTGACCTTTCGAATGCAAGAGAGTTAATCTACGGAACGAGGTACAACGAATTTAATTATAGCGCACTGCAACATTGCAAGCTTATCGATTTCAATGTTCGCGGTAACGCGATACCAGGCTACCACACGTGGACCATTCGTCTGTTTCATTAGAGTCGACCTAATTAAACGCGTTCGCGTTAGAAAAATATGCGGTATGGCGTACGCTAGAGTAAACAGGTAATAATGTGAGAGGTTCTCTTTTTCGAGGAAAATCCTTTTTACTTCTTTCACGGGAGTAATCGAGTTCCCCGAGCTCTCTCCCGAATCGTTACCCTACCCGGCTTTTTCTTTTTTTGGTCGTTTCTCCCCGCGGGACACTACACTTACGATAGATATCTTTTCGCCGCGACTGACAGAGCCAATTTTCCAGTTTCCAATAAATTAGTCGGCGTACTATACTAACGCTGCTCCGCGCCTCGGAACATCCAATTAGCCGGATCCGTCGTCGTCTCCTCCGGGAACCGCCCGTAAAAATATTTACATCCGCCGTTTTGCAGGATGTGCGTGACGATGGCCTCGCGTGACCCTACAAACGTCGTCGAGACAGAAACGCAATAAAGAAACGCAATTTTGCGCGGTAATTCCGGTAAGAAACGGTGACAATTGCGATCGTCGATCACCCGAATCGATCGACACGTTAACTTCAAATTTATCCATAAGGTACAAGAAACACTTCTAGAAAGTATCACTTTGCTGATTGTTACAATTATTGCAGTGTACATTGAACGGCGTCAATTTTTCTTTCACGGTATAATATTTATCTTCGGATGAGTCGGAACCGCAACCTTGGCCCGAAAGTTCGCCTCTCGGTTATATTTATCCCGGCGGTGGTGTTGTGCGTGTGCGTTTATATGGTGGTTTCTCAATGTGTTGTAAGAGAAGCAGGGGCAATATAAGCCGATGCGCGCCTCTTCGTAAAGAGCAACTTCCATTAATTTCAGGTGTCTCGTAACTTTCCGGCGTATTCGCAAAGCGCGCGCGCGGATCAGATATCAAGTCCTTATTAAGATAGATCTTAATGAATATTAATCGTAACAGAGAGTCATTCGCGAGCGCGACACTCGATCCACGACGGTCGGTGGGAACAATAATCGCGATCCAGGTTTGACGATCTAAGGAGATGCCCCGAAGATTCTCGCAAATTGCGATCGCCGACGCGGCGGCTTCGCAAAAGCGCACTGGGTATGTAACGGTGCCGTTCATTTCGCATCACGTGCGAACGCGATTCGCAGTTGAAGACGGTGATGGATTAGATACGGCGGCGGCCGCGATTTATTCTGACGCTAATACTTGCGCGGAGAAATCGCTCGCGCGCGGCAGATGCGAATTAATCAACGTATATAAATTATGGGAAGACAAATGACATCCACTTTTGCGGATGAAAGTTCTCGTAGACAAG